AAACTGAACTTTTATTCTGAAGGAGTAAAACTGAACTTTTATTCTGAAGGAGTAAAACTGAACTTTTATTCTGAAGGAGTAAAACTGAACTTTTATTCTGGAGGAGTAAAATGAACTTTTATTCTGGAGGAGTAAAATGAACTTTTATTCTGAAGGAGTAAAACTGAACTTTTATTCTGGAGGAGTAAAACAACTTATTTTTCAAGGAGTAAAACTGAACTTTTATTCTGAAGGAGTAAAACTGAACTTATATTCTGAAGGAGTAAACTGAACTTTTATTCTGGAGGAGTTAAATGAACTTTTATTCTGGAGGAGTAAAATGAACTTTTATTCTGGAGGAGTAAAACAACTTATTTTTCAAGGAGTAAAACTAAACTTTTATTCTGAAGGAGTTAAACTAACCTTTTATTCTGGAGGAGTTAAACTAAACTTTTATTCTGGAGGAGTAAAACTGAACTTTTATTCTGAAGGAGTAAAARTAAACTTTTATTTTGAAGGAGTAAAACAACTTTTATTCTGGAGGAGTCAGAGGAACCAGGTCTGGTTCTGGCCCGGCTCATGTCCACACGGTGGTGCTGTTCTCTCACACAAAGGGGGTCAAATGAGAACCTGTTCCTCAGGTCTGCTGTAAGAACTCTGAGACCTTGGTCTTTAGATCTGGTCTGAGAGGTTCTGGGTCTGATTGGACATGTCTCAGAAGACCTTGGTCCATGATTAAGAAGTCTGGTTCTGGTCCACAGTTTGGTGCTGGTTCAAACAACACTGGATCTGGTTCTGGTTCAGCGGTGGAGGTTCTGACAGGTTTGGAAACGGGACCGAGTCAGAACCAGTTTTTACTGAAAACCTGACCCGGTCCATCCTGACAGAACCAAGCTGGGTTTTAGTCCCTGTGTCCTGCAGGACCTTTATCCAGACCACAGTCTGGTCTAGATCTCTGCAACCAGGACAGAGACATGAGACCAGGACAGAGACATGAGACCAGGACAGAGACATGAGACCAGGACAGAGACAAGAGACCAGGACAGAGACATGAGACCAGGTCAGAGACATGAGACCAGGTCAGAGACATAAGACCAGGACAGAGACATAAGACCAGGTCAGAGACATAAGACCAGGTCAGAGACATGAGACCAGGACAGAGACATGAGACCAGGACAGAGACATGAGACCAGGACAGAGACATGAGACCAGGTCAGAGACACGAGACCTGGTCAGAGACATGAGACCAGGACAGAGACATGAAACCAGGACAGAGACATGAGACCAGGACAGAGACATGAGACCAGGA